AAGACAGGGATGCCCTCTCTCTCCACTTCTCTTCAACATAGTTCTCGAAACACTGGCCAGAGCAATTAGACGAAAGAAATTAAAGGCATAAAAATAGGAAAAGAAGAAATTAAATTATCACTATTTGCAGATGATATGATTCTATATCTAGCAGACCCAAAAGGCTCTACAAAGAAACTATTAGAGCTAATAAATGAATTCAGCAAAGTGGCAGGATTTAAAATCAACACGCATAAATCAAAGGCATTCCTGTATATCAGCGACAAATCCTCTGAAATGGAAATGAGGACAACCACTCCATTCAAAATATCTTCAAAAAAAATAAAATACTTGGGAATCAACCTAACAAAAGAGGTGAAAGACTTATACAATGAAAACTACAGAACCCTAAAGAGAGAAATAGAAGAAGATCTTAGAAGATGGAAAAATATACCCTGTTCATGGATAGGCAGAACTAACATCATCAAAATGGCGATATTACCAAAAGTTCTCTATAGGTTTAATGCAATGCCAATCAAAATCCCAATGGCATTTCTTGTAGAAATAGAGAAAGCAATCATGAAATTCATATGGAAAAACAAAAGACCCAGAATAGCAAAAACAATGCTAAGCAAGAAGTGTGAATCAGGCGGTATAGCGATACCAGACTTCAAACTATACTACAGAGCAATAGTAACAAAAACAGCATGGTATTGGTACCAAAACAGGCGTGTGGACCAATGGTACAGAATAGAGGACACAGAAACCAATCCACAAAACTACAACTATCTTATATTTGATAAAGGGGCTAAAAGCATGCAATGGAGGAAGGATAGCATCTTCAACAAATGGTGCTGGGAAAACTGGAAATCCATATGCAACAAAATGAAACTGAATCCCTTTCTCTCGCCATGCACAAAAGTGAATTCAAAATGGATCAAGGAGCTTGATATCAAATCAGAGACGCGCCGTCTGATAGAAGAAAAAGTTGGCTACGATCTACAGTCGGTGGGGTCGGGCTCCAAATTCCTCAATAGGACACCCATAGCACAAAAGTTAATAACTAGAATCAACAAATGGGACTTACTCAAACTAAGAAGTTTTTTCTCAGCAAAAGAAACAATAAGAGAGGTAAATAGGGAGCCTACATCCTGGGAACAAATCTTTACTCCTCACACTTCAGATAGAGCCCTAATATCCAGAGTATACAAAGAACTCAAAAAATTAGACAATAAGAGAACAAACAACCCAATCAACAAATGGGCCAAGGACCTGAACAGACACTTCACAGAGGAGGACATACAGTCAATCAACAAGTACATGAAAAAATGCTCAACATCTCTAGCTGTCAGAGAAATGCAAATCAAAACCACCCTAAGATACCATCTCACTCCAGTAAGATTGGCAGCCATTAGGAAGTCAAACAACAACAAGTGCTGGCGAGGATGTGGGGAAAAGGGTACACTTGTACATTGCTGGTGGGACTGCAGATTGGTGCAGCCAATTTGGAAAGCAGTATGGAGATTTCTTGGAAAGCTGGGAATGGAGCCACCATTTGACCCAGCTATTCCCCTTCTTGGTCTATTCCCTAAAGACCTAAAAAGAGCATGCTACAGGGACACTGCTACATCGATGTTCATAGCAGCACAGTTCACAATAGCAAGACTGTGGAACCAACCTAGATGCCCTTCAATAGAGGAATGGATAAAAAAAATGTGGCATTTATACACAATGGAGTATTACTCTGCATTAAAAAATGACAAAATCATAGAATTTACAGGGAAATGGATGGCATTAGAGCAGATTATGCTAAGTGAAGCTAGCCAATCCCTAAAAAACAAATGCCAAATGTCTTCTTTGATATAAGGAGAGTAACTAAGAACAGAGTAGGGACGAAGAACAGGAGAAGAAGATTAACATTTAACGGGGATGAGAGGTGGGAGGGAAAGGGAGAGAGAAGGTAAATTGCACGGTAATGGAAGGAGACCCTCAGGGTTATACAGTGGAGGGGGTAGAGAGAGAGGAGGGGAGGGGAGGGGAGAGGTGGGGAGGGGGGAGGGTGGAGGATGGGAAAGGCAGCGGAGCACAACAGACACTAGTATGGCAATTTGTAAATCAATGGATGTGTAACTGATGTGAATCTGCAATCTGTGTATGGGGTGAAGGTGGGAGTTCATAACCCACTAGAATCAAAGTGTGGAATATGATATGTCAAGAAATTTGTAATGTTTTGAACAACCCACAATAAAAAATTAAAAAAAAAAAAAAAAAAAAAAAAGGTTGATGCTGCTGTGGTTCCTCTTCATGGCCAATTTAAATGCTTCATGTAATCATGAACTTGCTCCAAGTTGTGAAAGTACATATAACTATTACTGGGAATTGTTCCTTTACCTGCTCTTTATTATCTGGGACATCTTGGGAAAGTTGCTAAACTTTTCTTTGATTCAGTGTTTTATTAAAAATGAGGCATATTATTGTATGTACCTCAGACAGTTGTGATGTTTCAATGAATGTAAAGAGAATTAAAACCACCTGGCACATAAATGGCACTCTGTTAGCAATACATACTATTAATTTTCTTTTTGGTTGGTGGAGCCTTAATATATGCAGATTTGTATTTAAATTAAATAAAAGCAAGAAGCAGTTAATGGATAAACATTATACATATAGATGTAGAAAGATCACCTTCAATAATGCAGTGCCTTCTAATCACCTTGGGAATTCTGAGCCTTTTATAAGCAATTTGAAATAGAACACATTCCCTTTGAAATGAGAAAACTGTTTGTACAAAAGAAAGTGAATACAAGAAATTTACTATAACCAGCTATTGACTAAATCTCCTGTTGTAAGTATGAAGAAGAAGAGAAGTAGCCAAAACATAAATAGATTAATTGCTTTTGCCTTGATTTCATACTGTGTAAGTAGGAGGGGAATTTATTTTTGAATAATCTGCTTGCACTGAACTAGAATAGTTTTATAGATGTTAAAGGTATAGTAGAGTACAAGATGACTTTCTACTTTTGTTTTCCTGAACATCTAAAGCAAATAGGTCTGCAAACTAGAAGTCTAGGTTTGAAAAGCCTTATGTCAAATAGAGAAGAAATGATCCCCAGCTTTAGAAACAAACTAGTTTTATGTGCACAGCAGGGTCTTAATTGCTTTGCCTGGGTTGTCTTTGCAGGTAGAGGTTTGAGAAATATCCCTGCAGGAGATCAACTTGTTTCTCAGAGGAAAAAGTCCCTGCTCTGCCTCAGGCCAACTGCATGGCCTTGAGCAAGTTTTTTAAGCCCTAGGAACCAAGTTTCCTCTTTGTGTGTAGTAATCCTTTCTCATGAATGTGTTTGTGAGAATTTAATCAGATGAATTATACAGCATACCTACCTGCATGCTTGGTCTAAGTGGGCTCTCAAAAAATGTGTTTCTTTTCTCTTTTCCAGAGAGGCAAAGCACAGTAATTTTTGTTCTGTAACATTTTGAAGTTTTATAAAGATATTGGAAGACTGGGGAGTTTGTCTTTCTAGTTCAGGAAATCTGGGGTGAAGGAGACATAATCAGATGTAGGCCTTTCAAACTTGAGAAGGAAGTAGTGGGGAAAGAGAAAATAAACCACAAAATTAAATGGCAGCTCACATGGAAATTTTGATAACTTGGTTACATGATAAAGAGAAAGAAGTAAGGTCTATGTTCAAAGTCAGAATTTGATTAACTCATAATTTTGTATGATTGGTTCTGCTGGTATCTATTGTAGTTTATATTCCTGCCTCACCATCCATCCATCCATCAATTCATCCAAGCAATGGCACCACCATTAGACACTGAGGGAAATGTGAGATGAATCAAGTAGATCTGGTGGTTGCCCTCAAGATGTTTGCAGGACCGTTGTCTTCATAGTCATAAAGGGAGGAAAAATTGAAAAGCAGCTGATCTCCTATGTGTCTGACCCTGTGCTTTTATTATCTTTTATACTGAGATGATAAAGAAGCACAGGGAAGGAAATAGAAACATAGTTAATGCATGTAAGAGGCTTAGTTGTCACAGCAGGGGGGGCACAAATGATGAACAAATGGTGGGTTGGAATGGTCTTTTATGATTTTGAATGGGTTTGATGTTACAAAAAAGAGCATAACACACACCCAGGTTTTGCCACAGTGAACCTCCAGTGGATTTTCTGATGTGGCGTAAAATCTGCCAACTTGATGGTTTCATCTTTGTCAGGTGAAAAGCGGTAGCATTTCTATAAAAGGTGATTTAGGATAGGGAGCAATGGTGCTCTGGAAAGATTTTTCAGAAGAGAATCCATTCATCCTCTGAGAACAGGAGCTGCTTAGCATTATTGTGAGGAGTTCATCAGATAACGTTAAAAGAAAGACACCACTAGCCTTTTTTAAAGGACAGATTGAAGAAAGTAAAAAGTACTTATTAGGAAAGATCAAATAGAGGAGTATATACAGAAAAAAATAAAGAGAAAATAAAAATTAGATAATCTTTAAACCTAAAAATATTGTTAAGATTTTCAGTGTACATACAACTTTCCAAATATTTAATGTGTAAAAAACCCCATTCTTATGATTAAGCAGAAAAAAATGTCTGACATTTTGCAACCAAACTTATGATATTCCTAATTTCAAATTACAGTAATAGAAACAGTCACATATTATGTAGTATGAATTCAAGATGTGGTTTTCAAATTTTCATTGATTTAATTTAAATGTCTTAAAGATTTGGTCTTTATAAAATTGGAAATTTTGATATGTTCATTTCACTTAGCATTTGGAAGTTAGAAAAAAATAGCAAAATAGCTTGAAGATCTATGAAAGTATTTTCTTCTGGGTGTTTTATTTTTTTGTAAGTTAGGCTGAGAACCATTTGGATAAGGTTTCTCCCCCCCACAAGATCTATTGTTTGTTGGCCTAAACTTGTATTTAATATTGATAGTCATTTTCTTTGAGAACAGTTTGTCTGTTAAGAGTTTTTTCCCCCCTACTTTACAGAAAATAATAGTACTGAAAACATATTTTCAGGTATAGTGGAAGAATACCAGCTTCCCTATCATGACCTGGTGCCCACTGACCCCTCTTACGAGGACATGAGAGAGATTGTGTGCATCAAGAAGTCACGACCCTCATTCCCCAATCGCTGGAGCAGTGATGAGGTAAGGCCTGAGGTCACTGTGTGTTCCATGGTCATCTCAACAGACTTTTCCTCTTTTGTCCTAATTCCAAGTATTCCCTTAGTGACATTCTTCTTTGTTTTGATGATGATGATAATGCTGTCTTACTGCAATAATTTATATGGAGCTATGTGTAGTGTGCTGAATCTTCTGTTCATTTCTTCCAATTTTATTTTGCCACTTTCAGAATATATTGGGTGGGTCAACATTGAGCCTACAAAATAGATAACATTATATCATTTATTTATGAAGTCTTGATATTTGCCTAAAGGCTATTATTTGTTTTTATGAATATACTTTAAGCATCGTGATTTTTCTTCATAACAAACCCAGAAATAGCTTTCTGCCATTTGGATGAGAGAAAAAGGCAGGTATCTGAAGAGCTGAGCTTTCTGTACAATGAAGTGGTACAAGTGGTTCTAGTTGAGCTGCCTGACCGAGTGTCTTTGTTAATAAGGATGATGAGATATGATTTGAACAAATCCATATTCAGTTTGGCTCCGAGGGCTTACTGGTAAAACCCAGATATTTCTGGAAAGGAGCTAACAGAAAGGACAAAGTGAATTGGGCAGGACATGCCTTTCAGACTCTGTTTCCTCTGCCCCTCGTGCTTCCTTCACTCACTGTGCCTTCGACTCGTCCAAGCCCTAGAGTTCTCCAGCATGCTGGAACATTGGAGATGAATTTGAAGTACACCCAGAGAAATAAAAGAGACTCTTATCAAAATTGAACCAAACCCAGTGCAATCAAGCAGGCAGAGTACTATCTATGAACTAATTGTTCAGTGTAAAATTCTTAGAAAAATAATCTTTGTTTTATTGGCTTTGCATGTAGTCACTGAAATGATAAATAATATGGAATGTTTTCCAATGAACTGTGCAGAAAGCATTTTGAAATGCTGGAGTTACATTATTTCAAAGGTAGTTATGGGTGTCTATGTTATTTGGAATCCCTTCACTAAGTATTTCTGATGAAGTGAAATTGTGCTTTTCAATAAGAAGACCAATGATTGATGCAGCATGGGAGAACACAGGAGAAAGTTTTAGTGATGCTGTGCACAGGTCATTAATCTTGTTAAGTGGTACAGTGTGATGCTAATATGGAGCAGGCAACTGTGGTTTAGGAATAACCATGTTTGTTTGAATATTATAAATTAGATGAAATATTTAAACTTATCAAGTTTATAAACAATCTGGGAGTGTGGGATAGAACACAGACTTCCTTGGTGTCTGTATATTTGCTTAATATTCAAAACTTCTTCAAATAGACCCTGTACCATCAGCAAAACATTTGCTTGCTCCTATTTCAAGAAAGACCTGAAAATCTTTTTGAGTTATTATCATTTTACATAAGAAGGAATTTTAATGGAATTTTGTTACTATGTAGTTTTAAGGGTACATCTAAAAATTATTTTCAGATTTTATGAACCCAAAACTGAAAGACAAATATCAAGTGCCAGCTTTGCAGATAATATATTTCTTAAACATTATTCCAACATTCCTCCTCTTTTTCACAGTGTCTAAGGCAGATGGGGAAACTCATGACAGAGTGCTGGGCTCACAATCCTGCATCAAGGCTGACAGCCCTGCGTGTTAAGAAGACACTTGCCAAAATGTCAGAGTCTCAGGACATTAAACTCTGATATGAGGGTAAAGGAAGCATCTCCGCCGAAGGCCAATAGATACTCGTCTGCTGTGGGCAGAGCAAAAGGTGTTAAAGAAGCATCTGCAGTCCAAGCCTCGAATGTTGTCCTGCTTCTTGGTGGGTTCAGACCTTACCTCCCAGGGAGCAGCCTGGACATAGACTAGAGAAGTTCCCAGAACCCCAGATTCCTCTGTGTCTGTTTGTAGGAGGGAGAAACCGCTTGGGTAACTTATTCAAGATACGATGCATGTTGCTTTCTAAGAAAGCCCTGTATGTTGGGATTGCCATTTTTTTAAAAAGATGCTTTAATTTTGCCAAAATAAAACAAATATTGTATATGTTTTAAGGTTTATACTATTATAGTTTAATGATAACAGAAGTTCTTCCCAGAAACTGTGTTGGAAGGTAAATTAAAATATATGTTTTTCCATTGGTAGAATGTGTTGCACTCTAACAAAAGACAGTCTGTGAAATTGGAGAACATAGAATGGAACTCATCTTAAGATGACCCCCAACCTGGCCACCTCCTACCACTTTGGCCAGCCCTGAATTTGGGGCTGCCACAACAATGTGAATGCATGTGGGCACAAGTTCTACCTTTCTGGGAACACGTTTTGGAATTCCTGCAGGTGGCCTTTTGCAGCTTCAGACAACATGGAACAAATGAAGGTTTTATGTGTCTGTAATAGAAGTGTTGATGGGTGTTCTTCAGAACCACTTCTGTCTCTGATTGTGTTCAGCTGTTCTTTCATGGTGAAATCCCTTCCTTTTCATTAAACACAAGCAAAGCTTTTTCTCATGTGCAGAGAATTGACCTGTGCATGCTTTTGATCTCTCAAATAGAAAGATCAATATTAAATAAAATGGCCATGAGTTGTGTTAAAGACAAGGTACTCTAAAATAATTTGCTATTGTGTTGTAAGAACATGTCAGTAAGGTAGGGAGGACGCTGAGGGTGCAGATGACTTGTTTCTCATATGTGCAAAGGAGCCTATCTCAGAAGCATAAGGAAAGAAGTATGCACACCTTATTTTGTATGGTTAAGGATGGTTTATTTTTGTTCTTTTTTCTTATCTGAATTAAGAGATAGAGGGGAAGCATCTGTCTGGTTAATTTCATTAAACTTTAATTTAAAAATAGATAAATATAACCTTCAGATAGAATAGCAGAAGAGAGTTAGTGGAGACCACAAGATATTATGGCTGCTGTGATTTATTATGCTAGAATAAATATGGATCTAACATGGGCATCTTCAATGATCATTTCACATCTTAAGATCACTGGCTCACTTTATTCTTGTGATGTTCAATTCACTATTTAATTTATTATTGTTTTTCTGCTCTGTAATACTTGCATAAAATATTTCTCCATTTACACCATTCTACGGGATTTTAACTTTTGAGCAATAGGAATAAAATCATCGACAGTGCCAATATTCTCTAGCAACAAGAATCTAATAGTTTTAAATTGTGCACACTGTTCTCAATTTTTTTTTTTCATTTCATTTCCTTACTGTGGTTTTCCTTTGCTTCTTTAGTAGTTAGTTAAAAAAAGAAAAATTGTCAGCACTTCCCCCTTGGTGTTTAAAAAAGACATTCCTTCCAGAATACTCCAGGGGGCAGTGTTTTCTAATGCATTTTCAGCGGGTGACTGAAGGATGGAAAACTTTTGAAAAATTGACAGCTGCATGAAAAATGAGAAAATATTTTTCTCACTTCTGAAGTAGACCTGCAGCTGGTGTCTTGTTCATCCAGAGAACACTCTGAAGCAATGAGTGCATGGGAGACTGCTTTCGGTTTAGGAAAGCACTCTCCATTCTGCATTCTTTTCCCTGGGTTTCTTCATAGCAACGTTTTGTTTTTCACTCAGAACAATTTCTGAATCCTTGAGTTTGAAAAAAAACCTTAGGAGTAAAAACAATTGGTACCAAATATAATTGTAGTCAGAAGGCTGCTTACTGATATTAAAGTAACCTCAATAGCAATGTAAAGGTTCGTGTCTGTTGTGTCAAATTATATTTTTTGTGATAGTTTAGAAGGAATACAAGGTTAGAACTAAGTGTGATGATCACCTGAGCCTTGGAGAGAAACTTTGGTGCCTCTAATCAGATCATCTACAAACAAGTAAGTAAGCATTTTTGCCAGTTAAGCAGAGCATAGTGTTTTTTTCTTGGATTTCCCTAAATGTAAGTGAGGTTGGGTTCACCTCTTAGATAAAACTGCGTTGTCTTTTTCTTGAACATCAATAACTTCAAATGAGAAAATTTTGTGGAGAGGTTATGATTTAAAAGTAAACTAGATTTCTAGGGTTCCAGTGGATAGAAGGAAATTCAAATAGTGTCCAAATTTCTTCTTTGTTGTTCATTTGGTTGTTTTGGGGAAAACTGATAGCTTACTTTATAATCCCCAACCTGATTTATTTACTATGAAAATTTGAAAATGATTCCTGAAATATTTTAAAATACCCACATAGCTATGATAGTATTTCAGTGAAACAAGAATTTATTTATGAATAGATTTTTTTTCCTCTGTATCTTACCAAAATATACTTTTCTTAGGTAATACTAAGTTGTTCTTGAAGACTACCTACTCAGCTCCCAATAATCCTTTATAGTTTTAAAATTTCTAGCAGCTAAGTGAATTTTATTTTTATTATTATTATTTTGTTTTGTCTTTCAATTGAACGAGTGAGAACCTGACAGTCATGTAGTTGATTGCTTATTTTCTTCTAACCCCTCTGTCCCAAAGGAATCCTAAATTATTAGTTGTTAGATAAGCTTTGTATGCTAAGACGTTCAGGTTTATAGCTTATGTATGTGTGTACATATTATTATAAATATAGATGTATATATAAATATTATGTTCAGCCTGGAGTCTGGCACAACTCCATTATGTGGATTAGAGAGTAAAATATTATGGATGATAAAGTACTAAATGAAACATAATATTTATTTATGAAAGCATATAGATTGTTAACTCACCAGTGAAGTGCTCTGAGCATCATGTATGAGGAGATCGGCCTTTGACTTGGAAACGCTGCTCAAAAGTCACTCATGACAATTCTTTTTATTCCCCAAAAGAAATCTTCTTAGAAAACATGCTGGGGTTTTATTTAAAGGGAATTTTTGGATTCTGCATTTCAATTGGTGTGTAGTCAAGTATAGCATGTACTTAATTAATGGCCGAATTGCGTGCTCCTAGTGTCATGCATTTTCTTTTGGAGTTTCATGTGGGGCCCATCCTGGCTCCTTGGAAGGCAGAGAGAGGAAAGTCTTCCACACTTGAGTTTGTTCAGTCCTAATATCTCCTCAGGAAACTGTCCCATAGCAGTGGGAATGAAAGGAGTAGCATCAAAAGCGATTTAGTTTAGCAATTATTCCTCTCACAAAACAAACACAACAATGCCATGTTTGGGGGAGAAAAGTTGGGAATATATAGGGGTTTTGTTGTCTGTCTGTTTCAGAAGACTCATTTATGTTCTTCGGGGGGAACCAGTGCCTTACGAATTTGTATATACTGTAATTATTCAGGACTAGGGAACAAACAGTTGTATTGTATTTGTTACAAATTGTATATGGCTTTGTTTTAACATTCCCTTAAATAAAATGGTTTCATTCTCCCCTTAGAGAAAACATGCCTGTTATCTCGTGATTGTGTCTTTTCTTGTTTTTGAAAATATCACATTGTAACAGGAGGAAAGCAAGGAAGACGGCAGATGCAGGTAAGTGTGAACATTTTGTGGAAAGAGAACAAGCAACATGGCTCAATGGCTTCCATTTTCCCTGTAATTAGGAAACACAGTCATCTGCTGAGAATAAGGGAAAAGTCGGGGCCGTCAGTGGTTTGAGGAGAGTGAAGAAGGTTTAAAATTGCACTGTGGAGAACGATAGCTTCCCAGAGAAACAGCCAGCTAAAATGGGCAAGACCAAGGGCCAGTGGAGGTAGGTCATGCTGGGTGACACCATAGCCCAGTCTCTGGGCCACCAGCCGGCCTGTATGTGAATCCAGGCTAAGTCATTCTCCCAACTCTGTGACACTAGGCATGTTCTGAACTTCTCAAAGACTCACCTTCTTCCCTGTACAGGTGAGAATAATATTAATAGCTACCATGTGGAGTTGTTCTGAACATGAAATAATCCTTGTACCAAGCATAGTTAAGCATCCAACTATTGCTGTTAGCTCTATTACAGATTCATAGTGCCCATTTCTATGTGGCTTGTGATTTTTATTTTATTTTTTTCAGCAACCCAAAATACAGGTACAGAGACAGCAATGATTAGATTAATTTAGCACTGGGGTTTTTCAGTCACAGGCAGCAGCACATCATGGAAAATAAGAATTACTATCATCAAAGGGCCATGTGACATGGACTGTAGAAGAGGCTGCTAATAGACTGGAAGGAACTAGTCAGAGGAGGGAATCCTGGCGGAGTTGGAGCTGTATTGGTGGCTTCTGAAAGAGCTATGGTCAGAATCAAGATTTCAAAGGGGGACCAGTAAGACTAAGGACAGGCTGAGGGTGTGATCCCAGGAATGGATCTCAGGAATTTAGTGAGTGGACAGGATTATTGGTGATGAAAGAGGAACCCCAAGGCCTGGCTTTTAGATATGCTGTGAATTTCAAAGAGCATATGAGGCAGAATTGTCCAAAGGCCTTGGAAAAAAGGGTGGGTAGTTTGTGGGGCCAGAAACTAGAGGTGAGGTGGTAGGGCCCACTGGCCTGAAATGCATGGAGTCGTTTTTATGCAAGGGTAATGATCTAGCAGTTGGAAAATGGTATGAGAAAGACCCTGCCTCCTTGACAGCTGTGAGGCCCTTGGAATGTGGAAGAACAAGGCTACGCTGTGGCCTCAAAAACTTTCCCAGGGGAGGAGAAGATCCTCTGCCAAAGGGCAGCAAAAGTATTAGGGCTGTTTTTCCAAAGGTTTTGAACCTTGGAGAGCAGGTTGGGAAGTTTGATTTTGAGGGGGACCCATTGGAAATGGGATCAGGAGAGAGGAAGCACAGAATTGTTTGGGGTGGAGCATGTAGGAGGTTTTGCATCATGAACTGTAGTCGGGGACTGAAAAGTCAGCCTGTGGCTGTCCATGTTGGCAGCTTCATTCCTGCCAACTGAAATGTGACTCACAGTTGGGGTTCAGACTGACCTGATTCAAATCCCATCATGTTCATTTTCTGAGTCCTGCAGAAGTATACAACTTTGCACCCCCAACCTTCTCACCTATAAAATGGGATAAAAATCCCTATGTCCACCTTATAAGGCTCTTATGAGGAACATGAGATGACACATGAAGTGTGTGACAGCCCCATGCCAGGTGCATAATAGGTGCTCAAAACACCGCCTGACATTAGTTTCACCTGGAAATTTCCATTGGAACACCCCTCCCACCCTTTCTGCTCCCCACTTTATGCTGAGACAGCCATGCTTTTCTAGACTCACAGGCAGACAGTAAATCCCAGGCAAGGAAAAAGTTTCTTCTTTTGGGTCACTTTAGGGGCAGGCATGGTTGTCCCATCTGTCACAGTGGCAAAGTATAGATGCCCCCACTCTCAGGAGAACAGAAATGGTTGCTCGCTGATTCCTAACCACATTGGGATATAATCCAGCTGTCCTGTCTCTGGGCCTAGGCGAAGTTCTTTGCCTAACACCCACAGGCAGGCACAGAGGGATGGATGGAGAGCGTGGTCAGTTCTCAGAACTTTCCAGTGACCTCAACTTGGAGACAGGCTGGAGTTGGGGCCCCTGACTTGACCTTGAAAGCCTTTGTGTGCTCTCCTAGGAGCAGCAGCTTTCTCAGCGGGATTCCCAACTGCTGAAGCTCCAGAGGAGAGGTCAAAAATGGGCTGAGACAGTGCTACCAAGTGTTTTCTTTGTACAATTTTTGTTTACTTTTTAATTGAATTTTTATTCTTCCAACTACAGGCCTCCCATTGATTCTACCCAGGTTCCAGTTTACATAGTTTCATTATTTCCTTGGCCCTGAACAAACATTTGTGATGCCACCACTGAATCCATGGTAAGTCGCTGTCCTGAGGCCCATGGATGAGAGTTGCTCAACCCTGCTGCAGTTGCCTACACTGGCTAACCAAGCTGAGGACCCTTCTTGAAGTAGTTCTCTCAGGGAGGAAAGGGGGACCATTGCTCCCACTCCTCAGTCTCATAGCTGCTTTTCACCTCTCACCTGGAGCTTTCTGCTTGCTCCCTAAGGGAACAACTAGGAGATCTGTTCCCAGTGGAACACCTTTGCTGGTATTTTGCTCCAGCTCTAAGCTACGTCATGGGGTTTCTGTCAACCTTTCATTTCCTGTTAGTGTCATTGTTTATAAACTCCATTTATAATCAGATCTCTGAGGGTAGGACCTGACACCACTGGCAAGTTCTCCAGGAAAATTTTGACACAGATGGTCTAAGACACTCATTCTTAAGTGCTCACTGGCATCACCTGGGAACTTTCCAAACTCAGTGCCCAGGCTGCAGCCAGACCAATTACACCAGAATCTCTTGAGGTAGGGCCTGGGCATTAGTTTCTGAGTCTGGGGTGATGCCAGTGTACAGCAATGTAGAAGAAGCACTGTCTTAGAATTTCATCCTGTGACTGAGGGAGGTTGTGACTACCATCCACACAAGATCCAGAGGTCTTTGGTCCTACGGAAGAAACATGATGATGCTTGATACGAAGGAATAATTTGTCATGAAGAAACCAGGGAGGCAGGCTCTCTGTTGCTTATAAATATAATTTATTACCTGTTTAAAAATTCTTTCTTACATTTTGTACATGTTGGCTGATGGAATAAATGCAGGCAATTTACAAACCAAGGGGACTGCAGGAAAAGTCAGGAGCGGCAGTAAGAGAGAGCAAAGAGGCACACCCAGAGCTGGTGTCCCTCACCTCTGCCACACAGCAGGGCGACAGACAGAGTGCCCAGAGAGCTCTCCTCTGTCACCAGGGAATTTTTTTTTTTAGAAAAGGAATTGCATAGAAGATACAGCAAGAGGGAACTTCACAACAACAAAAGAGGTGTTCCATATCTGAGAAGCCAAGGTTGTGTTGTTTTGCTTTAAAAAGAAAAATGACAAAGCACAAAACCTCAATCTGACATTTCTGCGGTTGAACTGTTCCAAAGAAGACAACAGGAGGACGAGCCAGCCGCTCCAACTCAGACCGCTGCCAGTTGTTCTCTGACAAACCCTGGTTGTCATCTTTAGAAAAAGCAAAGAGGAAGTCACCATGCTACAGCTCAACATTCAACACAGACGACACTGTGACATCCAACACACACACAGTGATGATATTCCCTGCATCTGGGCCCAATGCCTTCTGTCTGGGCGAGGGCTTCACTGTCAACAGCAGGTCTAGGTAAGACTGAAGAAGGCAAGTCACCTGATGAACTCGTCCTGATTCTTGCTCTTTTTTTTCTTTCCCAAGGCCTGGAGGACTATACTATGTCACACCCCTACATTTACAGATGTCATTGAGGACTTTAGGAATACAAAAGGGCAAAGGCATTTCCCACTGGCTGTAGATTTTTTATGCTATTTTAAAACAAGCCTTGCTTTAACATCTAGAACACACTCAAGCCATGATTTTTGATGTTGCCTTACCATAGTGCTGAGGATCCAAGGCCAAGAGCTGATCAACCTCTAGGGTGCAGATCAGTAAAAGCTGCACACAGTTCAGGTTCCAAAATCCACAACGGGGAGTGCCCCACCCCTGTTAGTGGCATCCAGCTCCACAGCAAGCCTGATAGTGCCTCCTCCAGTAGACCTCAAGGATGACCCATGATTTAGACTTATTTGTAAGGGAGCCTGAAGTGTTATGATCTGCACTTGATAACCTTGCTAAAGCACAAATTTGAAGTGGTATGATAAAATGCTGCTGTTGTAGGGTAACACAATGGCTGTTGGGCAGCTGATTTTACCTGGGGGCAGCTTCCTTGTTTTCTATTCAACTGGTGGGGCCACGACTGCCGGTGATGTTCTACAGGGATTTCCAGTTTAGGATTTTGAGAATTTCTGGAAAGATCGGTTTGAGTATGCAAGTGTGTGAGTACACAGAGGACTGGGGAACAGCCCCTGAGAATTGCTTGGTTTTGTGCGCTCATACATTTGTGGAGCCCTGTGGGTTTGTCCTGGTAATGCCTCCCCAACCACACTAAAACATGCCTGAGGCATACAGTACACTTGGTTGAATGAGCCCATTAATGTCCCACCACAGATCAATACAGGCAGTGGCCAAGCCCACTGGAAAACCTAGGAGCCATGAACTCTTCTGACAACAGTAAAACGTGAACAGCCACATGGCCAGTGAGATGAAAGAACCAGGAGGGAAGTTCATTGTTAGACCTAGTCTGTAGAGAAAATCTACCCATGACATACAAGAGCATCTCCCCGCTTTTCAAAAATAGGTTTTCAGGCCAGAATTTTGGAAATAATTATGACTTCATTTGGCTTACTTCTCCTATATGGACACAAGCTTAAATTAACATTGGTTACAATATACTTATTCCCCATATTCCTTATTTCATTAAAAAATCATTAGGGATGCAAAGGAAATCTTTCAAAGTGATCATTAAAGCCAGAGATTATACAAATAGATCTCTTAGGGTAGAGAAACAGTATTTCATTGCACAGAGGAAAAGTTCTAAGGATTTCAGTCACATCAGCTTAGTACATTTAAAAAATATAAAAATAATACAAAAACAAAGTATAATAGTTGGTCCTATGAGGCACTGGAAAGGTTAAAAAAATTATTAGCTTGAGATAATAATAAAAATATTCCTTATTGGATCTATAAAATCTAATGGTCATTGGCCACGGTCATCTTTACGAATAATTGGTTTTGAGCAATGGCATTTCTGATTTACAAAGGCTTCTCTGTTCTCAAAGAAGATGGCTGGAGCCTGATTTCAGTTCAGCTGTTTCTGTGGCACTCCCTTCATTCATTGGCCTTGGACTTGCACTGAGGTCTCCATATGAAACTTATGCCCTGTCCAGAACAGCTGCTTATGAAAAGCTGAAACTCACATTCAGCTTGAAGACTGAGACTCAACAAGTAAACCTTTCCACCTTCATTATCCACTCTTGGAGGTTCTTACACAGGTTTATGTTTGGTCCTGGGGCAGGCCTTCTAGAAGCAAAGGCCTGAGGATTTTGGGGAGATGTGAGCATCTCCCCAGCTCCCCACTTCTTGTGTAGATTACAGAGCATGAATTACCCAGGAGCACAGCCGCTGTGTCCCTGACAGAGACACACAGGAGGAAACTCAGGGCAAGAGCCTGGTTTGCTCTTCTCCAGAAGAAAAGTCTAGAGTCTACCTACCTTCTGAATGATGGGTTATAAAGATACCTCACTTACAGGAAAAGGCCCTTAAAGACCCTTTACTTCATGCCTGGTTTCCAGAGTGTCCTAAACTCAGGCCCCATGACTTTTCCCTAAAAAATGGCTCTGTGTCTTTGATGGTCGAATATGAAAATGGCTAATGATGATGCATTTTAGTGTTGGGCACTTCACTCCACAGTGCTCTGCCCTCCAAGAGCTTGGACCACTCATGTAAGAAGGGGGTTCTGGCATCACAGGTGAGTGTCCATTTTGGAAAATGTCCATGAAAGGCTGTTAGCTGTGTGTTCTTTGGTGTCACACATACTCGCATCATGGTCTGCCCAGTTGCCAATATTGAATCCAACTTTATTCCTTCCAGATCCCTTTAAGAAAATCTGAATTAGGGTTGTGAAAAGAAAATAAAACCAGGATGAAACCTCTGCCATATTCTAATATTTGAATTATTCAAATTCAGAAGAAAGGCTTCTTCTCAATCAACAGTCACAATTTCTCTTCCTTTAGACATAGTGTTCCTATTTGCATATATAAGACTTATTTCTTTCTAAGCAGATACTCTTACATTTCCAAAGATAAATATTAGGAGAGGAGATTTAAAATATACAAAGCCCAGTTAAAACCATAAATGTTAAAAATGACAACTTCCAAAGACTTTTATACAGATTTTATGTATTTCTGTTACAAGAAAGCAAATAATGATGCGTATGAATGACTTGATGATGTACTAGGCTCATAATGACATGTAATTTTGAGATGGATGATTGAAGTGAAACTGTGAGAAGAAGAAAATTACACATTTGAAGTGATAATATCCCCACATCTATTTGTTAAAAAGGTCCTGTTGAGTTGTACAGGTACACATTCCCTTTGTCAAACAACTTATATTAAACTCAGGGCAGATTGCATTCCACACCACTAGATGGCACCATGCACAAATGATAGTTCTCTCCCTCTATCCAAATGAAGGAAGCCGGCCTTCCCCAAACTGTGTAAGCAGGATGTGGCACATTGGATGGCTGATGAAGTGGCTCCCTATGAAATGAACTGTTCTGTCCAGATCTTCTTAAGTTGGAAAGCAATCTAACAGCTATTACTTCACTCCCAAAGAGAAGGAAAGCAGAATTCTTAGTGAAAATTGACATATGGTGTGTTGTTTGGAAGGAAGTTGTTCTTCATCTGATAGGAAACATGAGCTCTGTGATAGATGAGTAACTTGCAAGGAGTCAATCATTCTTCCCTCTTCTAGTGGTGAGGGGTTGGACCAAAAAACAAGCCTCTGAAGTGAACCCTAAGGGCCTTCAATGGCTTTAACAACACCATTCCTGCTTGCTCACTGTTTGTTGATATTTTTTTTAATCAAAATTTTTCAGCAAAAGTTTTGGGATTGATTTCATATGTATAACTACATATTTTCTCCCCTCTATTTTTATGAGGTACAAAAGTTTCTTTGAATATCCAGATCAGATTTCTTGGTTTCTATAGATGATTCTGCAACACCAGTACTAAAGAACAATCTTGACAAGTTTATTTTAAGATGCAGCCATGGACAACAACTCCTGCTCTTTTAAAAAATATCTAGATTTTTTAATTTAGTAAAATCTCATTGGTACAGTCATTATCCACTGAACTTGTGTACTAGTGCAATCTCCCTCTTCCTGATCAGTGGAACAAATATTTTTATATATGGAAATTTGAATGCACAGGTTGGCTAGAGAGAGATTATACAATATGTATCTAAAACAAAAGATAAATAGTACAAAAGAGGCTCCATAACAAGGTACCAACTGTTCCTCAATCATGGGGCTGGAGAAATCTGAGAATATCAAGAGGTATCCAAAATGGGAGAGGAAATACATGTTTTAAGATGGGATAAAATGTATAAAATGATTTCTAATTCAAATTCAGCCAGCATTCTGGATACCTCCAGCCTTAAAGTAAACCACAGTCATGTTTAGAATGTTCTTATTTAAGCACACTCAGTCTTGGTTTGGCTACTGGCTTTGACTTTGTTCCCCACCAGCTGAATGAATGGATTCGCTGTGTTAAATGAAGAGCCTGTGATGGTCCCAAGGAAACTTCCTTGTTGACACAAAGGAGTTTGTTGACTAACATTTTACAGGTTAAAAAAAAAGTGGGGGGGCTAATTAAGTAGCCTTTGTAAATGTTACTGAATATTATTAAAGCAAAGACTGGGGGGAATAAAACACATCAAGTTCCTACTGCAGGAAGAACTTGTAGGAATGATTTTGATATTAAGAAAATAAAACAATAACAAAGCAGAATTTACCACTAGTCAGGAAGGCAAGAAACCTAGGGGTCCCATGAGAGGAGAAGAACATGATACTAAAGGGATGCCGTCTCTCAGCGAGCAGCATAATGCAAGGATATAAAGAAAGGACTTTAAAGCTGAACAAATATATTGCAGGTTAGAATAATTCTCTGCCAAGTCAAAATGATTTGAAAGGCATAATGTAGTGTGTGGGGGGGAAGGCTAGCTGACTGAATGATCCAGGTCAGAGTCCGTTATCATCTTCAGACTGATGAATGAGACTGGAGGCCTAACAATGGAAGTCCAGCATTGTTGAACCTTGAAGGTGATCTGATCCCACCCCTTATGTTATAGGTAAGAAAGCTGAAATACAATGAGTTTTAATGCCTTTCCCAAGGCAGTTCAGCTAGACAGAATTGATTTTCTGATTTCTAGCTCTTTTCCCAACCACACTGCCCCTAAGGCAGACAGAGTACTATGGAGAGTCAACGTGGCACCACACAACTACACTACTAAGTGAAATTCAGGGGGAACACTTCTCATAGTAAGACGCAAAGGAGAAAGACCCTGTCTGAGCAAGCTGAAAGAACTGATTGATAAGCCAGTGAGTGCTTACTACCTTTCCAGGGTAGAATGGTAGAAGAGGGTCAAAGGTCAAGGAAGCAATGCCTGTTGGACTAAGCTGGTCACCCCACCCACCTCTTATGTGAGGAAGTGAGGCAGGTCTGGTCAATACCAAATACTAACAGTACCGCTAACAAAAACAGAAGTTAAAAGAAAACCCTTTTACTAAAATACTTGTAGATACTCATCAATAATAATAATGATACTTTTTTAAAAAAAATCTTTAAATTTCATATTACAAACACGCCAAGAAGAAATGTTTTGAGCGTTTGAACATGAATCACTATCTTCCCTGCAATGCTACAGCTTTACTCCTAAAGCACACCAGGCAGGTGCACCCAAGGCATAAGGAATCTTAGTCATTTCTCCTTTACATTTAGATTCTCCCCTTCCCTGATACAAACAGTAACACTGGTTCTACAAGTTCTAGAAACAGAACATTGATTGGGAGGATTATCTGAGACACTGGATGTATGAGATTTGTAGCAAAAGTCTGACTTCTTTGTAAATTACTAATCTGAAATAGACACAACAAACCGTCCACAGCTTCAACTTCAAATGATTTGAACAAAAATAGAATGCGCCATGGACAGTGTCTGCATCCCTGTCCAATTTGATGTAAACAACATTTGTAGAAATTGGGTTTGTTAAGAAAGTTTATCCATATATCTGGATAGCAATAAAAAGCGTTTCCTAGGAAACTGTAAGATCCTGTACCATACAGCATACAGCCCAACTAAGAGGAAAATTAGGTTGACTTCTAAATTCAAGGTACACATTTACACAATTTTTCTTAACTCCTGTGATACTGTCCAAGTCAAGTGGGCATGTACATTGGTAGTCGTATCTGTTCTTCTCTCTCCCGCTGCCATCTTGCCTGTGAAGCTCATTGGTCTAGTTTGGATTTCCTCCTCAGCTGTGTTTTCCCTGGACGGCCACAGACTCCCTGTGCATTTTCCTCCTTCACCTTCATTTCCAGTGTGGTCAATACTGCCCTTCTGCTGCTAAAGACACTACTGTTTCATGTCTTCCCATTTCTTCCAAGACAGCTGCCAGCATGCTCAGGTTTCCATCTGGGAAGTTCTGTGCCTCCCAGAGATCCAGGATTACACCAGTGGGGCTTGATTTGGTGGCAAAGTAATTCAAGTACCTGTAATTGGGAATGGGAAAATGTGCTGAAAGGCAAGATTTATGGATCTATTTTCTCTTCTGTTGTTACAGGGCTGAACTTTTCTGTCTCTCCATCTGTCTTGAAGTATCTTGGCCCCACTGTGGTTTACAGTGAGCCATCCTAAATGACTAGCCCATACTTAATTAGATCAGCTCCAGACAGGAGACGTGATGTTTAACTTTGTTAACCTCAACTCTGAGTAAGATAATTTAAGAGACAAGATGTCTATGGGTCATATCCTAAACAGGAAATCAAGAGACTTATGTTTTCTTTCCAGCCCAGGATCTTTGACAGGTCGTGCCACATCCTTTGCCCGGTGGTGATGGCAACATTCTACAAAGTGGAGGCTCCTGAGGTCTCATTATAACTTAATATCAATGCTATGTTGGCATGATAATTATTCACCAAGCATTAGGTCCTGCTCCACTGGAGATGAGGAACAATAATTTAGTGAATGAATATAATATTTAGGAGCATTTAGCCTATCAACTTGGCAAAGTAGGTCACAAAACCCCACGCTTACAAATGCCAAACAAACCAAGAATATATCTGTGAATTAGGTTTGTAAGTCTGTATTGTGAGATGTAAAGAAGCAGCTTAATACAGGTTTGCAGAATGAAAAAGTAAATAGATGTATGGATGGGAAAGAAAACAAATGCTGCGTTATGTCTAATAGTTATCAGTCCTGGAGACCTGTGTCTAACAGAAAGTAACAGAAAGAAACCAGTCTTGGAGCCTGGCCACACCCACCTGTCCAGATTTAGCTTATGGGCCAGCATCCTCCAATCATGGCCTCTTGTCTGTGGGGCATCCAGGCTGCTGCAGAGCTTCTGCCTGATGGGAAGAGGGATGCTGAAAGCGCTCGGCCCTGTGACGGTGGTGATGGTGCTGGCAGGATCCAGCAAGGGCAAATCTATGCCAGTAGGTTCCTGCAGGAACAGCACAGCATTATTTCTGGACAAAAGCAATCCCTATTGAACTCATGAACATAATGCCTTGCTTTGAGTGATAAGAAGAGAATGGGTGCTGTTATTCTCCTCAGTAAGAATGGCTTCTTATAGACCTGAAAGTTTGGCCTCGCTGTAGGTAACTTGGCCTGGAGGTGGACAGAAGTACATTTTGAGCTAGTTTGCATAGCCTTGCCTCCTAGATCTATGGTAAGGATTAGGTAGATGAAAAGCTCTGTTGTGATTCAATCATGGTTTTTGTAATGGGATTCTCTAGGAGGAGAGAAGAGAGGGAATATCAATAATCCTAAAGGTTGAAATTTCAAGAAGGGAAAATGTTCAAAAGGGCATTTCTTTTGAGAATGAACAGATTTGAGATTAGAGAGCTACTGGAAACCATCTGACCCTGAAGGAAATGCCCTGGACCAGTGCCTGAGTAAACTCTTTCTCTGACCCTGCAGAAGGTGGTTTGCTTCTTTCTTTTCTTGCTGGGTAAAATGGAACAAGTCTAAACGATATTAAATTAAGACAAACTTTTTTATAGAAAATGATAAACACAGTATATTGCCTTAGGGCGAGCTGCTAACGGCAGGCATCCTCCAATTGCTGTACATCCTTTTTTTAAAAAAAAAAAAATCTAATTTTAGCAGAGAAACCTATAAATTGGCTCTTAAAATAGTTTCAGCTCATAAAACAGCACAAATGCAAAAATCGGAATTTCATCTGCAAGAGAAATTCTAATCATTTTCTGATCACTTCTGTTGGTTGGAAAAGCAAAAGCAAATGTTGCCTGGGAACTATTAAAGCAATAAAAGAAAATCTACTTAATCTATGTTAAATGTCATATCTCGTGTTCTCTCTCTCTCTCTCTCAAAGCAGGTTAGTTACTCCTTGGTATGCATAATTAGTTGCTGGAGGATAAACTAGCCACACAGAGTCTCAGCCATCATGAAGTTTCTGATGTCCTGCAGAGTGCTCAGCCCAGGAGGTCAATGCCACAGTTTCCCAGAGTCCCCTGTACCTGCTCTACACTGCTTAAGTGGCCTCTACAGATATGTGAGTGCTGGCACAGTGGCAGGTAGGTGGGGTCTCAGCTACATGCATCCCAGTGTAACTGGCAGTGCACTCTGTATTCTGGGATCTGACTTCTAGTCAAATTGGCTGCTGACTTCTAGTTTTGTGAATTCCCACTGTACAGGGACCATCCAGGGACTTGTAGGGTATTGTTGAAGCAAAACTAATTAATTTTTTTTTTTGCAATAATGTGCACAGTGGTGTTGGCTGCAATCACAGTGTTTCGCCTCAAAATCCAAAGCTTGGCAAACAGATTCCCTTGGCTCCTTTGTGTTAGCTCCAGCACATACCAGGATTTAAAGGACTGTGGTATGAAACATAGAAGCATCCAATGTGAGCTGGAATACCTGAATGAATATCACAACCTGCTTCTCTTCTTCCCTCAGGCACAGAGGTCTTTCTGAAGAACAGGAGAGAGAGTTCCTGACCTCTAGGGAATAGAGTTTAAAGAAAGGTAACCAGAAGAGTGATCTGAGGATGCATGGCAGTGTTTATTAAAGGATTTATGTTTGTGATAGCTGAACACATATCCCAGTGCTCATATTGGACATAGAAGGAAGTATGGATGGGTTGGGGGTGGTGCAAGCAAAGAGGAATCCCATGCTATTCCTACAATATTGTGCCAACACCTGTGTAGAGTCCTGTTTTCTTCCTTTCTAGACAATAACGACAGGGCCAAGGGAAATCTACCATACTCCCTAATATACCACCACCTGATTGTCCCTGGGTGGCAGTGGAGATTAAAGTCTGCAAAGAGAGAAGTCAGACTTTTGAAGCTCTGACTTGTGTCCCCTGAGACTCTCCTTATTACTGTCGGCCACAGAAACTCCCTACTGCTTACTGTGATCCATCCTGCACATCTGCCTGCAGGGCTCCAACGATGGGCATCACTATTTCTCTGTCTTTTCTCCTCTTTTCTCATTAAGAAGTGTTACATACCCCTCCTCCTGCATAAGTTCCAACTCATAAAATTTTTTTATTAATAAGTATTAATTGTACACATTAATAAGGGTTCAGTGTGATCTTTCTATACATGGACACGAGAGGTCTTTCCATCTTCTAGTATCTTCTTTGATTTCTTTCTTTAGCGTTTTATAATTTCCACCTAGTTAGGTTTTTTCCCTGGGTATTTTATTTTGAGGTCTTTATGAATAGAATTATTTTCCTAATTTCTTTTTCAGTGAGTTCATTATTGGTGTATAAAAAAGTCACTGGATTTTGTATGTTGATTTTGTATCATACTACATTGCTCAATTTATCAGTTCTCAGAGTCATTTGGTAGAGTCTTCGATTCATATCACCTGCAGACAGGGGTAATTTGACTTCTTCCCTTCCTATTTATATCACTTTTTTTTTTCTTTCTCTTGCCCAATTGCTCTGGTTAACATTTGTAGTGCTACAATGAATAAAAGTGATGAAAGCAGATACTCTTGTCTCATTCCTGATTTTAGAGAAAATGCTTTCACTGTTTCCCAATTTAGTGTGATGTTGGCCACAGGGTTGTCATATATAACTTTTATCATGTTGAGGTATAATCCCTCAATACCTAGTGTCTTCAGAAATTTTATCACAAAGGGATACTGAATTTTATCAAAGGCTTTTTTTAATATTTATTGAGATGATCATGTGATTTTTGTTTTTGGTTCTATTTAGGTGCTGTTTTGTATGTATTGTTTTCTGTATGTTGACCCATCCTTGCATACCTGGAATGAAACCAACTTGATTGCGGTGTATGATATTTTTAATGCATCACTGAATTTGATTTACAAGTATATTATTGAGGATTTTTGCATCTGTGTCCATCAAGGATGTTGGTCTGAAGTTTTCTTCTGTTGTTATTGTTGTATCCTTATCAGGTTTTGGTGACAGGGTAATACTGGCTTCATAGGACAAGTGTAAAAAAGTTTTGTCTCTCTATATTATAAGATAGCTTGAGGAACATTGGTGTTATTTCTTCTTTAAGAGTCTTGTAAAAGTTGACAGTGTACCTGTCGAATCCTGGGCTTTGCTTTGTTGCAAAACTTTTTTTATAAATGATTTAATCTCATTGCTTATTATTGATCCGCTTAGGCTTTAATATCCTCTTGGTTCAATTTTGTTAGGTTACACATGTCTAGAAATTTGTCTATATCTTCCAGAGATTTTCCATTTTATTGTAGTATAATTTTTAAAATAGTCTCTAATTATCATTGGATTTCAGTGATAGCTACTGTAATATCTTTTTGTTTCTAATTTTATTTATTTCAGTATTCTCTCTTTCTTTTCATTAGTTTAGCTAAGGATCTGTCAGTCTTTTCAAAGAACAAAGTCTTTGTTTCATTGATTTTTTTTTTCGTAGAGTTCTTTTAGTCTGTCTCTATTTCATTCAGTTCAGCTCTGATCTTTATTATTCTTTCCTCTACTGATTTTGGTTGCTTTATTCTTTTTTCTTAGGACATTGAGATAAATCATTATCTGAGGTCTGTTTTGTTTTGTTTTTAATGGAAACACTTATATCTATAAACTTCCCTCTTAGTGCTGTTCTTGCTGTACCCCCATATTCTGATATGTTTTGTTTCCATTTTATTTCTTCTAGGAATTTATAAATTTCCCTCCTGATTTCTTCATTGACATGTTTGTTCAAAAGTATATTGAACATTCTCTATGTGTTTGTATAGTTCCTCTTGCTGTTGATTTCTAGTTTTATTCCATCACAGTCTGATAAAATGCAAGAAATTATCTTAACTTTTATGTGTTGAGATTTGCTTTATGGCCTAAAGTATGGTATATTTTGGAAAAAGTTCCAACAGCTGATGAAAAGAATGTATATTCTATAGCTTTTGGATAGACTATTATGTAGATGTCTATTAAGTATAGTTGATCTATAGTATAATTAAATTTGTGTTTCTTTATTGTTTTGGGGTCTCTCTGCAACTTTTATGTCCAGCTATATTTATGATATTTGGGCCATACATACTTATAATCATTAAATTTTCTTGATGAACTGTTCCCTTTTTAAATATGTACTGATATTCTTTGTCTCTTTTGACTGCCTTTGGCTAGAAGTCTGTTTTGTTGGCTGTGAGTATAGCTACCCCTGATTGCTTCCAGATTCCATTTGCTTGAAACATCATTTTCTATATTCAATTTCAGTTCATTTATGTCTTTGTCAGTGAGGTGGATATCTTGCAGGCAGCAGATTTTTGGGTCTTGCTTTTTAATCCAATCAGCTGGAATATATCTTTTAATTAGAGAAGTGAGACCATCTATATGTACCAATTATTTCATTTTCTCTTGTTTTTCTTTTGGTTGTTTAGAATAATATATGTTCATGTCTTTCTTAAAGGTTTGTTGGCTTATGGAATTAATAATGCTTGATTCATTACCAATTATTTGTTTACTCTTCTAGTGAGAATTATTCTTTCCTATATTCTATGCTTGTGTTCATCTTGCTTTCTTTTCTGTGTGTAGGATTCTTTAAGAATCTTTGTAAGACTTATTTAATTGTCATGAGTTCTTTCTGTTTATGCTTATCTTGGAAGGCCTTTATTTCTTCTTATTATATTAAGGATAATCTAGTTTGGCAGTTAGTTTCTCTCAGAACTTGAAATTTATCATTTCATGTCCTTCTGACATTTAGAGTTTCTGCTAAGAAATCTTATGATGTTCTTATGGGTTGAGTTTATAAATGACTTGTAACTTCTCTCTTGCAGATTTCAGAATCCTTTCTTTGTACTGTACTTTTGATAATTTAGCTATATTATGACATGGAGAGTTTTTTTCTGATCATTTCTGGGGTCCTAAATGCATCCTGTATACCTTGATGTGCATATAAGATGTGATAATCTTCTGCTATTATTTCACAAATAGGTTTTCTATGCCTTTAGCCTGTATCTGTCTCCTTTGTCTACCCCTATGGTTTGCACCAT